ATTGCGCGAAAATCAAAACAAACAGACAAACAATTTATTTGTGAAGTTAGACCTATTTTTGGTCACGTGTATTTTTTTGTTTTAGAGCAAAGCCACATTGGGCAATCTGTTGTGTCCACCGCGGGAAATCGAACCCCGAATTTTAGCTTTGTAAGTCTATATACTTAACACTGTCTCACCGGGAGATTTAAATTCTAGAACTCGTAGTCAAAGAAATAAAACACTTTCATTATCACTTAGTGGACTGGACTTTGCATTCTTTATATACTGTGTAATCCCCAAAGAACTCGTCCAATATAATAAGCTGTTACAACAATATGATTTGTTTGTCCCAAAGAAAAGAACTGGTAATTCTAAGAAATTAAAGTTTCGCCGTCAACAACAATTTTCTTGTATCAAACAAGGGACGTGACGTAGGTAACGTCAACAACAATTTTCTTGTACCAAACAAGGGACGTGCCGTAGGTAATATTTTTTTCTGTGTGACAATATAAATATTAGCGATGGCGAAAACAGGAAGCCCAGAAAGTGATTATAATTCGTTAAATACTCGTAGCATTTAGCTACTTTTGATTGTATATTTTTAATGATTTATCTGCGCCTGTAGTTTACAACATTATTTATTGCTATGTTGAAACTGACATAAAATAAAGCCTCACTTTGTACATTTTGCTTGTGCATAAGTATATGAACCTATTGGCTTAGTCGAGTTATAGTCCGATTAAAGTTTGGACTGTTTGTACATATCTATATCTGAGTTTGATGATATCGTTAGGTAACAACCCGCACCTTACCACTACACGCATGCACTTGTTATTATAGCTATACTAATATATATATATATATATGCTCGTATTTGCGTATTTACTGTATTCCAGCAATGACTGATTGTCCTTCGGAAACTTTCAGTTTGATATTTATTTCCTGTCTTCTAGCAAGGACTTAATGTCTTACACTGTGCAGTTCAAAACAACCACATGGATGTTGTTACTTTCCTCTTAGAGTCGGTGGAGAATATTGAAGTCAATTCGTGTGATAGAGTAAGTCAAGCTTATATTTTGAATAAAGATGAAAATATTTTTAAACGTTTTAAAGTAGGATTCAGTGATTCTAGTTCGCTGTAGAAACAACTTTGAAAGTAATTAATAAAAATCAAGAACAACATTCGGATTTTTGGATAAAAAAATTATCAGGGTTCAGTAAGTATCAGTGGGAATGAACACTGGGCAACAAATGCTGTTTCTTAGCCACGTCTATAACCAAACGATTTTAAGCTTGTTTTCTTCATAACACGTTCTTTTTTATCCAAAAACTCTTTCACCGATAATTTATCAACTTTGAATGCATTATACTTTTTCTTTTGCACAATTTAGAACATATATATGATACACAAACATAGATATATATATATACATTGGTCTTTCAGAACGGACAGACTTCGCTTCATTCAGCCGTAGCTAACAACAACATGGATATTGTCGAACAGCTAGTTAAGTTCGGAGCGGATGTTAGCATTAAAGACAAGGTAGTGTATCAGTATACTTATATATATATCCACCTATGTTTATAGTTGTTTTACGCACACACACACACATATATATATAAGAAATTTATAAGCCCTAATCCGTTGTTGGTAGAAAAGTAATGCAACTTTAAGTTTTTAACAACTATAGTAAATCTGATTTTGGATCAAAATCACATCTAGTCTCAAAGTATATTACCAAATCTAGATTACAGATACAATCAAATAAAATATTTTTAGCAGATATTGACAAACAAGGGAAATGCAATCGTCTTCTTTTTTTATTGTAAACTTATCATTTTATACTGCAGTAAAAAAAAACTATATTATACTGTACCGTGCTAGGGAAATAAATGTTGCATTTATAAATAATTTGAAATAGGAATAATTATTTATTAATCTTATTTGCATAAAATGTTTCCTTTTCTACTAAGCCTAGTTGACTACAGACAACAGTACTAGCACTTTGGAAATGAAACCGAGTTGTTGCGTGCATGCCCTTGATTCTCCTATTACGTGCTTGTTTAATTCATGCAACATCAGGGTATATGACGTCATTACCAATACACACCCAAATCATCTGCCTAGTTTCACACAAACAATTATATGACGTCATTGTCTTAAAACATCCACTGTCCAACGTAGACTCACTTAATAATTATATGATGTCATTGCCGTGAAGCATCCAAACTTCCTAGTTAGATTCTCACAGACAAAGTATTTGAAGATTTTTTAGCTGAAAGGAGGTGGATTGGAAGCTGACTCTGTTATGCAGAACCATTTGCAGATAAGGGCGTAGAAACTAGAGGTGCTTGGGTTACGCACCTTCTAGTGGTGTTAGAATATGTATGTCTGCGGACTTACAACACTAGAATCCGGGTTTCGATACCGTGGTGGGCAGAGCACAGATAGCCCATTGTGTAGCTTTGTGCTTAATTACAAACAAATACTTTTGGTTCATTTGTAAGCCTGTTATAAACGTTGAAGCAAGGACTGTGATCAAAGCATTTTTGTACTGAAATAGATAATGACGTGTTGGCGTTGACTTCGTTTTATTACTGTGTTTTAACATAATAACAACTGAATGCGTTATTTCCGTTATACAGCATTTACAGATTTGCTCAATGGTTTTCCTCACCCCATCTGTAAAAATTGTTCCAATATCAGTATTTGCAGATCTTGTATAATTGAGACATCCAACCACTGCAAAGTGTAAACAATGCTCAGAGGAAGCTCCAACAATCCATTTCAACTCGAAGATTTTAATAATCCAAAGTTGATAATTATGAAAATATATAAAGAATGCTAGGGATACTTATATTGTCACGAATTACACTGCGCTCCGCATTGCAAGCTCGTTGCAGCTTTTTATATTTTTTCTGTTCATCAACGAAAGATCAATCTTTGTGACTTTGTCTGTCGTTGCTAATTTTGGATTGGTTGGATATAAGCAAAATCACCTCCATTATTATTTTCTAGCATTAAATTTGACATGAGGGCCAAAAAAGTTTAATTTATTCTTTATCCAATGTTATCATATTTAGTCCTAGCGGCAGAAATTTCGATTGGAAGTACGCAAGTAATAACATAGCACTACGCAACTCGCATGTTTGATTTCTCACGTGACGTTATCACGCACATTTCCAATTTTTTTTACCCAGTAACTTAAAGACATCGAATGTAAAAGAAAAATATTATATACTTTATTTTGTATATTTTAGATAAATAGATAGATAATCAGATTTAGATCCATTAATACGACCGACTTATTTATGCACAATGTTGAACTGGAAAGACAAACTATTGTTAGTACAATAACGTTCTTTGAAATGTCAAGATACATCAAAAAACAAGCATAAAAATAACCTAAACCTAACGTTAATTATGAATTATCTTTCATTTTACACCTGTCTAACTTTCCATAGACTGGATCAACAGCCGTCCATCTAGCGGCAGAAAAAGGTTACCATTTGGTTCTAGTAAGACTTCTACGAGTTGGTGTGGAGATAGAAGACCGCGATGAGGTATTGTTTCATTAACGAAACCATTCCAAAGCATATTACGATTGTTAATTTGGTATTTAATATATATATATATATATATATAGAATGAGATCACTTTCAGCTGTTCAGAATATGTTATCAAATTTGGATTAAGGTCATTCCGTTAAAAAAAAAATAACTGTTATTCGTAAAATATTACTGACATAGAAGGGCAAACTGGATCTTATGTAAAATAATTTTCTCGCCTTTTTGTTGACGTAAATTTAATTTGTAATAGATACATTTTATAGTCTGTACTTGAAGGCATGGCTTGGGCTGATCTCCCTGTTGTTTCTATTTCGTTAGGAAGGACGAACTGCACTTCACCTGGCGGCACAATATAATCACCAGAAAGTAGCAGAAATACTTCTTGAGCATAATTGTGATCCAGGGTCGGAGGATGCGGTAGGTGAATGAATTTTTCCAGTTAGTAGACTTTATTAATTAACTCTATTATCATATTTAGCATATTTGTTTTGTTCAAGCTACCAAATACTTTCCATGGTGTAAATTTAGTAACTCGGTCACCAGTAGTAGAAAGTTCACACCCCTTCCAATGGAGATTTCTTTTTCTGTATATTATTTTTGATTACCAGAAGTTAAACTGTTGACTAATTAAAATGGCTGGAAACTGTGTTGATTACATGTGCTCTAAATATATGATATATAAAACGTAACTTTTTGTAGTTGTCGAAGGCAAAGTCTTTAAATGACACGAATCTTATGTAAGTACACACACACAATATTTGTGCATTATTCATAGATATTAAGATAAAAAAATGCTTTCCAGGTGTAAATTTATAAAATATAAAATTGCTTGAATTCTATGCAAAATGCTTGATATATTTCTCGCTAAGCTAGATGAACCATTACATGAAATTCCCTTGGATGTCTTTGGTTTTGTTATTGTGTAACGAGGACGTACATATAAGTGCTAAACGTCACTACGCAAATTGGGAGCTGTCAGCTGGAAAACAGTTGAAACTGTAATTGGTGTTGAAGAGTAGTTAGTTGCCAACACTTCAAAAGCGCTTTCCTGGCACTGAATGGTTCAGTAGTTATCAATAACTGATTTACTTTGTCTGGATTTTGCTTAGATGGCCAGGTTTACCTTTGATCACTGCGTAATTTTGTTAACGGATATATAACATATAACGGATAAGGCATCGAAATATCTCATTTTTATATGTAACATGTTGGTAAAATTCGAAACTCTTTATGTTTTTCTCAAAATACGATCAAAAAGCATTTTAAGGAACTGGATAAGTTAATTGTTAAATATGTAAACGCAAGAATGAGTCGTAGTGGTTAATGTGTCATGATTCGTGTACCGTTGTAGCAAAATCACGCTCCACATTTTTAGGCCTTAAAAAAGTAACGATTAAAATAGCCCAATAGTTGGCGGTGGGTGCTGTTGACTAGTTGATTTCCCACCAATCTTTGTCAGTTTAAAATAATAAGGATGAGTAGCACTGATAGCACATGTATAGCTTTGCACGAATATTCAAAACGAACACGTGTAACAATATGGTTATCGAATTAAAAATATGAGTATGTACTGTAGATTGATTACTTTTGTCTAAATATTTTAAGCAAATCAAATTGGAAGCTCAAGCGTAAAGTTAAAGGCTATGTTTTGAGTTGTCATTGGCCTTTAAACATCGTGTGCGCATATAAAGACCTTAAATTACACCAATATATATGCATAATATATATTCAAAACGTGCCAAAATTGCACTAATATGTGTATAATACATATCTCAAACTTGTAGATACAGCTTCATATACCATCGAAATGCACCATTTTCAGTGAAAATTGTTTTAAGAAATCCAAGACAGACGGACAGACACCCAGTCTGGTTTCCTCACTCCTTTTCTTTTCCCTCCAAAAGTAGCATCCCTTTATAGATTTTTTTTGTAAGCGTGAAGCGTAAGAGGCCGAGGATTTGACATTAGATGTACGCCCTTGTATGTGATTTTGTTTTGTAACGATATAAAAGTGGCGCAAGTCTCATTATTCGGACACACAAGAATAGCCATAGAGGCGGATGGTCTACCTTCCCTCTACTCTATTACTTCAAAATTAGGGATGAATATGCCCTTCTGAAGCAAGCAAACACAATTTTTGTGATAAACATCACATAAATTGCAGGACAGTTTTTCCAATTCCTCTCAATTTGTCCATTTTGCATCGTGAATCAGAAGTGTGTAAAAATAGCGTTTCAGATGTATCTTTTGTCACCTCCCCCCATTGGCACAGCGGTATGTCTGCGGACTTACAACGCTAGAAACCGTGGTGGTCAGAGCACAGATAGCCCATTGTGTAGCTTTGGGCATAACTACAAATAAACTTTATTTTGTCTCCCACATGTCACTGTCTAAAAGGCCTTCCGTTCCACACCAGAAGTTGTCAGTTGGGCTGAATGATAAGACACGAAAGTTTTCTGAAACGTTATTTATATAATGTTGGTGAATATGCTAACAAAAATAAGAGAGAATATTAAATAACAAAGATTGATAAGAACTCAGGGAACTCGACTAAATACGTTGGTTTTAATAACCCGCTGCTCCAAAGTGCGTAGCACGTTCTGGCGGCGATGGTTCACAATTCATGAACCCTCGAATTCAACAACGCAGATAAATGAGTAAAAAAATTAATGATGTAAAGAGGGATAATATGGAACAAAATATGACGAATACTTGTGTACACCAATAATTTGACTGAACTCAGAGTGGTGTGATATATACAACAATTACACCATACTTGTGTACACCAATAATTTGACTGAACTCAGTGGTGTGATATATACAACAATTACACCATACTTGTGTACACCAATAATTTGACTGAACTCAGAGTGGTGTGATATGTACAACAATTACACCATACTTGTGTACACCAATAATTTGACTGAACTCAGAGTGGTGTGATATGTACAACAATTACACCATACTTGTGTACACCAATAATTTGACTGAACTCAGAGTGGTGTGATATGTACAACAATTACACCATACTTGTGTACACCAATAATTTGACTGAACTCAGAGTGGTGTGATATATACAACAATTACACCATACTTGTGTACACCAATAATTTGACTGAACTCAGTGGTGTGATATGTACAGCAATTACATAGACGATTTTGCTGTGGTTCCCCGGTTGGAGAGCGGTAAGTCTACGAATTTACAACGCTAAACTCCGAGGTTCGATTCCCCGCTGTGGACTCAGCGGATAGCCTAAGAAGGCTTTACTCTAACACAAACAAACAAATTTGGCTTTGAAATCTTTGTTGTTGTTTTCGTAGTTAAGCGCTGTGCCCACCATGTGTATCGAAACGCGGTTTTTAGCGTTATAAGTCTTCAGACTTACCATTAAGCTACTGGGGTTCTTTCAAATCCTAGAGAAATAAAAAAATTAAGTATACAGAATTATGCTTTTTTCGGTTTTACTGAGTAGGCAGAGTAGCAGGAGAATATGTACAAAAAGTGTGATTCCAAAAATTGGCAGAATCGAATAAAATTTTCATATTGATGGGAGGATCGGTGAAAAGTATGTATTTTCATTGGCAGATGACGCCAAGGCGATACTTGAAAATTACCATAAGCTTTCAAAGTTAAAGTTCTGTATAAATCATTAAATACTATATCTTTAGGCTTCCCTCCAAGTGGTACAACAGTATGTATGAGGAGTTACAACGCTAGAAACCAGGTTTCGATACCCGAGGTGGGCAGAACACAGATAGCCCATTGTGTAGCTTTGCGCTTAACTTCAAACAAACAATCAAAATCTTTAGGCTACTTAATAGGAACATATTGCACAACGGAAATGAGTTACACCTGCGACAATCTTTTGAAAGCTAATCAAAACCCTTCCGGGTTGTCATGGTATCCTACGATGACGTCACTCCACCTTTTCTCACACTTAATTCAGTTATTCTCAATTTTTCCTCTGATGAACATAGGTCTTCCTTTCAAAAACGTTTAGATTATAGGATTTCTCATCTTTGTCTTTTAATTGATTTTTGAGCCTACGTGTTTTCTTAACATCATGAATAATAGGAACATAAAAACCTGTCAATTTCCTTTTCGTCACAATCCACGACGTTTTTCGTCAATGTTTTGACTATTAAATTAAAGGCATAATAAGTTAATAATCTGGTGATTACATTCTGACTTTAGCTTGTTAGACTTATTACATTGTTTTTCTGACTGAATGTTCATTTGCTTGCTATATTTCCTCTATTTATTCAATTATGTACAAGCTGCCCAGTGTCGGCTAACAATACGAAAAATTAAATTGTGGCGAAATGCTA